ACGAGTCCACGACACCACTCTTGGCACTGGTCGCACAAGTTGAACCTGTGGGGATAGTTGATCTGCATTCGACCATACGTGATTCCATGGATCCACCTGGCACGCGAGAGTCTCTCGCACCTCGGGTTAAGGTGAAAGTCATCTCCATTGGCAGGTGCAATCCACACGTCAGCATCGTCTCTGATCTGAAGAGGATCTGGCAGCTGTTGGCGGCGCACATGCAGCACATGGTACATAGTTGCCAAACGTGCGATGTCTTGGCGACGCGCAAGCTCTCTAGTCCACAACTGGCAGTAGTAACACATGTCGTACCGCCCAGGAGACTCAAGTAGCAGCTGGCCATAAGTCAGTCTACGAACATGACGTGCCCTTCTCAAACCGTCGCACTCACCAAGAAGATGGAAACGGGTTCCAGTTCTCGGGGCAATCCATACAACAGCATCTTCCCTTACACGAAGGATGTCATCATCCTGCAGCAACGCAGGCATCTGCATTGGAACATGTTCATTGTCAACTGCTGCTGGCAGCACATGAGCCGCTGCTGCTTCCCCAACTGCAGTGAAAAGCTCAACAAGTTCAGCATTGTCCTGGCCCGGCGGAAAAGGGCCATGCTCATCATTGTCATTGCTGTCATCTGGTTCTGAGTCTGGCTGCTCAGAAGGCTCTGTTGCAGGCGGCGTGTCATCAAGGATTGCGGCACGTGCACGTGGAGAATAGTTCCCCAGGCCGCTGCTGTCATCAGAAGTCACGTCTACAAGATCAGGAAGCTCAGCCGTCTCGGGCTGGTTGTTCTCCCTTGTCAAGTAAGCAATGCCAGCCATCCGATCACATAAGAAGCGACACATCTGCAACAGTCGGTCGACTGTGCCACGCAATGTCATGCTGGCAGTGGCACGGCCAATCAAGATTGCGATGAACACTGTCACGACAAGGATAGCAAGGCTGACTCCAGACTCTGGCCCTGCACTCCCTTCTGACTTTGTGATGTCATGCTCAAGTGCAGGTAGCTCAAACTGTGCTCGATCATCAGTAACCGCAGCCTTGTTGCCAGCAATCTGAATCAGCATGGTGAGCAGCTGCAGTGCCTCCGCATTCCCACGGCCCGTGCGCTTCACGGCACGCAAGAACTTCTTGGCTTGATCGCGGCGACGCTGCTCTTCCAACTCACTCGCTCCAACCAAGTTGTAACAATCACTGGAATCACGAATCCCAATGATGTGGCTAAGACAGCGTATNNAACAGATCTGCAGGGTTTGTAGAGGTAGGCACAGCATGCAATGAAGCCTTCTTCCACTTGAAAAGGAAGTCTTGCAACCACAACAGCCTACCTGATATATGACGAAGTCTCCCGCAACCTTGCCTGGACATGATACCTCGCGCAGCACTCGAGTCAGTGAAAACATGCATTGTAACCTCACTCTGCAAGATGTGCTGCAAGGCTGTGCGGAGGAGAATCCCGTCACACACGGCACTGACACAGGCGATGTACTCGCTCTCCCCGGAACTGAGGCTAACACAGCTCTGGCTTCGGGAGAAGCAGTGGATTGTCATGCCGTCAAATGCAATGCATCCAGCACTCGTGCTCTTACG